ACCGAGCCCTATTTTCATTGTGTCTGCCTGTTCGAATGAAACAGAGAAGATGAGTGGTGGGAGCTGGTACTTTCTGGCTTTTCAAGGGAGATTTGCCTCCTGCCTCTTACTGTCCCTCACGGGGAAAGGGGCTAAAGTTAGTGGGTGCCTTCTCCCCAACACCCAGACCTGGCATTAGCAGACCTAAATCCCAGGCTTCCTGGTAGAGAGTCATCAGGCACACCTACAAATCACAGATCCTGGTCTGCAGTCCTTTATGATGCTGAGCCCCACATGAGAATTAAAGGAAACACTATTGACAATTATAAAATACTAAATATAGAACAGTACATTTAAAAATGGACAATGGTAAAAGCCTTGAAAAATTTTTCTTTGATGTGAATGGAGTTTTTGGCATTAGGAAATACAATAAGATGAATTAATTGCTACTCATTACATGTCAAGTCAGGAGAAGCATGAATGGGCCTTCTCTCCTTGGCATTAGCCATTGCCCGCCTGAAATAGGCCCTTTTGTATTTACTCCTGCTTTCTCTAATAATAAGCAAATTAGAGATCATGGCTAGAAAAATTCAAGTGCCCTCCATCCTTTCTCCAAGCCATCATAGACTCTTATGATGTTTATCTGCTTAAGGGCTACTGCTAATAATTGCAGAGGTCATGTGAATCCACATAGTGCAAGATTAGAAACAACATCTGCAGAATTACTCCTTAGGAAAGTATTGTTTTGTCTTTTTCTGAAAAAGTGATTTTGCAAGCAAATTGCTGTCTTTCCTCTCATGTGCTATATTTTTATATTGCTGAGAGAGGTATATTTGGAGAAGAACACTTAATAGCTATCAGAAGTTTTTCTATCCATGATCTTTTTTATTTTTGACTGTACATATTTTTACTGATGTATTGGTGGGCTTCCATATGAAGAAATTAGATTGGAGTCTTTAAACTCTGAAATGATGGCCCCTGAATAAGCAGGAGTATATTGATTTAGTATGCTGTTCATTCAGATTTCATATGTAGCCACTATAATATAGTACATGCAAGCATGTGCCATTTTATATTATCTTTAAAATGTGTTTATGGTTAATGCCTAAAAATTATGAGATAATTGATTCCCCAGAATATTTAAAAGCTGAGAAAACAGGGGGGAGCAAGGGTCCCCTACTTTCCAGAGACTGATTCATAAAATCTCCCTGAGTTTGAAGAGCGTACCACTCCAGCCATGTGCATCTGTGATAGGCTGCCTTCCTGTCATGGATATCACCTGAAGACATTTTCCAAACATTGTGTACATTTCAGCAGCAAGAGGAAGGTAGTCAGCTGATCCCAGAGTTGTAGTGGCAGCCTTGCTCTGCTTCATGAAATATGAAAGCCTGTTTACTTAGTAACAATAACAGTTTGAAAGGCTTCAGGCTGAGAAGTTCATGTCTGCCATGGCCTGCTGGACCCCGCGTGGCAGAGGTAGTGAGGCCGTTGACAGCGCGGTATGCCAGGAATGGGGCAGGAAGAGAGTCGAGTGGGTACTGAGACGTGCACCCTGCCTTGGAGTGCTTCGTCTGCCCTCAGTCTCAGGTCGCACGGGCTGTTTGTTCTTAGCACTCCATCAACAGTCTTAGACCCATGTTTCCTGCTCCATAAATATTTTCCAAATTCCAGGTTGTGGGTTTGAGTTTGGGTTTGGTTGGATAAGGGAGATATGCCTTTTATTTCCCCACTTCGGCTTTTTATGGCCTCATTCTTTATAATCTTAGGAACAGAAGGGCTTAAAATCAGTAATAAGGAGTGAATATGAAGTTGTCCAAGCTTTTTCCTAGGACACATTTTTCCTCGTGCATACTCGTATGTACACATGCATACACTCAGTATTTTCTGTAATCTAAGACATCATAGACGATAACTCAGTATTGACTTAATAACAGTTTTTCAAGATAAAACAATGTGCTCATCCTTTGTAAATCTCTTCCACATCCCAGAAATATTCGTGTGAAAACATCTTAGAATAAAATTAATGTGGTGTACAAATGTAGCATATATTTTTGATTTTACTTAAGCTACTGTTGTTTGGATGGATTAGCGACACCCCCACCCACACCCCCCTTTATTCTGGGGGTAGGTGGTGATGATAGAGTGGAACGTTTAAAAGTCCAGGATATTAGACTAGAATGACACAGAGATGCCATTTAGTCAGGTCTGACACTGAGAGTTATAATTTCTTCAAAGCCAGGCGTGTATCTCTAGGCTGAAAATGACAATTTAGACATCCTTCAATTGAAATCTCTCAGCTAGGTGTCCTTCTGTACGCCCACTTCAGGATAAGTAGGCCTATAGCCAGTCTCTCAGTTCTGATTTTGAGATCTCCCTGGTGGTGCTTATTATCTGCAGGGTTACTTTAGATTTTAAACAAAAAAATTTAATTTTCCATCGTATATCATAGGTAGAGGGGAGATGTTATAAAATTAAGTGAGTACTCAGAATGTCACCACTACAAAAAGTAGGAAATAACTGGTGTAGACATTTTAGTCCATTTGTAGGAAATTGCCTATTCTCAAATAGGTAGGTCAAGTGCAGAAAGAACCTCTACTTGAGATAAAATTTCCTCTCTGCACTTGGCTTTCTCTCTATTAGGACAGGTGGCCAAGAACTGCCCAAATTTTAACATCCTGCTGTCTTTTCACTAGTGGTTTTTCAGCTATATGTATTAAGATGTATTTGCTTATAATGGATGTCAAACTCACAGCTCTGAATACTTTTAGAATCAGAAGACCTTTAGAAAATAAAGTACAACTCTTTCCTTTGTAGTTGAAGAAAATTAGAGTGTTAGGTGATTTGCCCAAGGTAATACAGCCCATTAATGTCAGGTGGAGGGCACGTTTGGAACCAGGTCTCCAGACTCCCCAGCACGTACGCCTTTTACTGGCATAGAGCAAGTTGGTGTGCTCGCAGCAATTGACTTGCTCTTCTGCTTCTGAGCTTCTGTTTTCATTTGGGTACCTGGTGGAATGCTGGGTAATAAGAGAGTCAAACCTGACTTTATTTAACAAAAGAAAAAGACTGTATTCTGAAGCGTCTGGAGCTATGTGACATAAACAGCAAAGGTGGTGACTCTTCTCCTTTCCTCATTGACTGATTACCCTGTTAGAAAAGAAAAGTATCAAACTTTCGTGAACGTTTTGAAGAACTTTTCAATCAGCCTAGCAAAGGGAAACATCTCAAGCAACTCTAATAGAGTAAGAGTGGGTTGTGGAGATGTAGGTACTTATTTCCATGTGGACCTGGACTTAATGATTCCTGGTCACTGCACCCAAGTGTGCACAGACGCACTTTGTATTTGGGCAAGCAGAACCGCCCCTGTCATCGGCATTTCATAAACACAGAAGTCTCAGGTCTGAGAGAGGCCCCATGACGTACTTTTGGAATAGAGCCAAGCCCACAGCTCTTTTGTGGTTATTCTGCACAGTCTGCATCGGCCAGGCAGACAAGCAGCCTGGGCTGCCATTTTCTCAGCTCCCCCCACCTGGGCCCTGGACAGGTTGTAAGGCTTGTAGCTCGTTGGGGAAGGCACCTGTGGTTATACCTATGCCATTCCTTTGGTTTCCTTGAGAATATTGATATCATTTTATTAAGGGTTACATGACTTGGGGGCTGGGGTCCAAAGTGACTTGTCCGAAGAGAAACCCATGAGCTTGTATTGATGTCAAGGTGCTCTTGACAGAGAAGGAAGGAAGTGTGACTGAGCCAGGTTTCCTGTTCATTATACCAGGGTTACCCTCTGAGGGGATGGCGGGGCAGGTGGCAGGTGGAACTGCAGGACCAGCTAAGGGTAGACTGACACGCACTGAGATTTGCATGTGTCAGGCCCAGTTTGGCTGTAGGGCATTTGCACACACACAGTCAGTTTATCATAAAATTCCACTGACTTCAATATTTGCCTTTTTTCCTGGCATCTCAGTGTCTGAAATGTTTCAGGCCTTTAAAAAAAAGTTACCTGAGAAAGCTGGCTTCAGGTTAGAACGTTCAGCAGATTAGCAAATGGAACTTCAACTCGAAGAATGCCATCTGACCAGAGGCAGCAAAGGCATCACTTCAGTCTCTGGGGACCAATAATCCTGCAGGCCTCCGGAGCCCTCCTGGTGTCATTCAGCTGCAGCAGTGCCCTTACAGATACTCATTATGACCATGCGTATCCCCGAATAGCTGTTAGATGAGGCTCGTTTTTTCAGTTGAGAGCCAGAGAAGTGTATGAAATATAAAATTTTATGCAAACGTTAGGCTCCTTTTCAAGGGTTAATATAAGCGTTTTGAAAATTCACACGGTGCTCCTGGCAGTTATGGGGCAAAGTGGTGTCTCTACCTTGGGAGCACCTGATTGATCTTCCTTAGAACCCTCTAGTACTTGTCTTATAGGCTTTGATTTTCCCCCCCTCCTTTTGGCCTTGCCTTTGGCACCTCAGCATGTTTATTCATCACCTTTGGGTAAATCTGTAAACATTGAAGCCACCTCTCAGCTGGTACTCAGTGTCTTAGCCTGAAGCTTCCCTTGACCTTCACTCTGTCTGAACTCTGAATGACAGCTGGGGAGAGTGCTCTTTTTACTCTGATGTCACCATTTTGTTCCTGCTTTGATGGAGTCTGGGCCTGGGATAGCTTGTATAGACCTTGTGCAAGCAGCCAGGACCCTTGATATGTTTACTGAATGTGAAGCCCTGCCCCACCATCAGGGCCTGTCCCACACCAGGGGCCTGACCATTTCTCCATCTGTACTGGGGAAGCCTCAGAACCAGCTCAAAGGAGTTGGGAGTTGCGGTTGTTGATAATTGCCCTTTAGATAGTTACCTGGGTCACACATTTCTCCTAAAATGTTAAAAAAAAAAACCCCACACTCCTACGCATTTTATTGTACCCAAGTATCATGTGTTTGTATACGTATATATTTTTTAACTAAGAAGAAAAATAACCCTGCCTTTGTAACGCATTCCTTTTAACAAATTGTTTATTGTTGTATCCAGGTAACAAGCATGGTAAGTATTTTCACCAAATTGAGTATTCTGTACTTTAGCTGTGCTTGGCAGACTTTTTGGCTAGCTGTGTGTTATCAGCCTTGGCTTTTTTAGAAAAGACCCTTTTAGGGAAAGGGGAAACCACTTACCTGGTAGCATCTCCTGTGTCCTTGGGTATAGAAAGAACCCGTCTAGCCTTTGACGCAGGCGGGGATACCTGAGAAAGCATGCCCCCCGCCAGCATGCTGCTTGGCCCCGTCATCGCCCTGCCTCTTCGCCCCGCCGCCCCGCTGCTTCTGAGCCTCCCCACCAGGTGTCTGCCAGGGCTCCCAGGCCGAGCACACAGCCAGGCCTCCCAGCACTCTGCGATGGTCCTACCCCAGATCCACAACCACGCCTCTTTTCTCACCCTCCTCCCCATCTGTGTGCTTGAAAGCAGGGCCTTTTTTTTCCCCCTCTCCTTGAGCCTGTTAAGTAATTGGAGACATCTCCCTTTGGAAGCTGGAAAAATAAATACGTTGTCCACTCTTCTCAGAGGCTTCCCATTCTGTTGGAAAATGGATTAAAGATTTTTTTCTTTTTAAACCTTGCTACTGGGTGTTCTCAGTAAATGTTCAGAGTTACAGTAGGTTGAGTGTGTTTTTAGCCTTCTGGCTGTGTTTATTTATCTGTGCATGTTTGCTTTTTCGGCCTTTTTTGTGGCACTGTATTTTAGTCCCTGTGCTCGTGGCTGTGCCTGTTTAAGCTGCCCGGTAGCCATGTGTTGTGTATTAATTCTGTGTGTCACTGTCACCTTCAAGGATCAGACTGCAAAGGATAAGGCCCTGCAGCACATGGCCGCCATGTCGTCAGCCCAGATCGTATCAGCCACTGCCATTCACAACAAGCTGGGGCTGCCAGGGATTCCACGCCCCACCTTCCCAGGGGCGCCGGGGGTAAGTCATGAGGTGGATCCATAATGATGGCCCCTGAGCGCATGGGGTCCACGTGGCCAAGCACAAAGCCATCCACCTGGCACTTCTTGTTAATTGGGTCAGGTGTAAGAGAGGGTAAGGACCATTTTGTGGCGCCCTGTTGCTGAGTGCAAAATGGTGAAAGAAAGCATGGAATGAGGGAGAGGGGGAGAGTAAGAGAGGGAGAAGGAGAGGGAAGGAGCTTAGTCCCTGAAGACATGGAATTAAGTATCACTTTTTTGGTGCCCTTCCAGGTTGTTATCTGCCTCTTCAGCTCTATCATTTTAATCCTGGCCCTTGGTCTCTGTTCCTGTGTCCTCAGGGTCACTTTATGGCAACTAACTCCTAAAGGGACAGAAGTATTCTATTATCATTTTCATTTTGCACCTGCCAAGGGCTGAGCAGCTTAATGTTATGATCTCATTTAATCCTCAAAATAATCTTAAATGCCTCTTGCTGTTATTGCCATTTTACAGATGAGAAAACTGGAGTTAATTAGTAACAAACAAGAGTTTGGGTAACGTGATCATAATCACATGGTTGGCGATGTCAGGACGCATACCCAGGGCTCTCTGACTCCCTTGGCATCCTACTGCCTTTCCAGCAGGCCTCCAGTCAGCGGGCACCAGAAAGCTCAGGAAAGCTCACAGCAAAGGAGGCGTCTCTGCTGCTGCTCCGAGCTCCTGGCCTCTCGTTCTGAGCTGTGTCCTCTCCCCGGTGCTGGGAGCTGCGGAGGCACATGTTACACAGGAAACATTTCAGAATGGAGGGAGGAGGAGAAGGGTAGGTAGGCACATGGGTAAAGCAGTCAGATGAGATATTTTTGAACCCTCTGCAGTGCACCCAGATTTCAGTTGGGTGTCAGGTGAACGCTGAAGAGCTGCTGCCTAGTCCCTGCCGTCCAGGAGATTTTCTGGAAGAAAAGCCAGAGGGAGCTGTAGGTTGCAATCTTCTGCAGGGCAGCGACCATATCTGCATTTAGGGAAGGTCACTTTGCAGCTGGTGGATGATCTGAACCCACTGTCTTTAGCAAAGATTACAGTGCACAGACATCCTGAGCAGTGCTTTGAGGTGAACTCATAACCCTGAAGCTTTTTGCATTTTGCCTTCCAGTTCTGGCCGGGAATGATACAAACAGGACAGCCTGGATCCTCACAAGAGTAAGTTTGAGGAGGGGCCAGCAGTGACAACTAGGGGCTGGTCACAGCCCACCCCGGGTAGAGGTTTCCTGGCACCAGACTGCCTGCAGGCTTGGAGGAGAAGGGAGAATTAACCTGAGATCACCAAAGTCATCCCCTATTGTTATCTACTGAGGCCAATAGCAGGAAAGAGACTGCTCAGATCCGGGAGACGTGTAAACACCTCACTCCCACCTTAAGTATTAGTGGTCGTGCAGCTGGCAACAGGAGGAGGGGCTCCATCCCTTCATGGCTTTGGGGAGCCTAGCCTGGGGCCCTCCTGAAAGTGCTTGCTTGAGAGAGGGCAGTGGAGGTGATCCTATAGCCCATTTTATTCCGGCTTTCCCTGTAGTGGGGGCAGCTGATAGAAAGTCCTACTGATGCTTTGAGGGCGAGGGAAGCAAGCTCAGTAAGCTGGAAGATAAGGGCAGTCTAGGGATAAAAGCAGAAAGGAACTCCTGCCCATGTATTCTCAAAAGAACTAGAGCTATTTGGCCCAGAGGAGAGCCTGAAACGTCCCAATCCTTGCCTGGAGATGGTGACCACTGACCTCGGTCTCTGCAGGGATCAGAGGAGAGGTTCAGAGGTAGATATCGCAGCATGTGCAAGGCAGGCTGACATCTGTCCAGCTCGTCCCCCGGAACTGGCATGAGGCTTGGTGGTTTGGTCCCCAGCAGCCTGCTGGCCCGTCTCAAATGGACAGCATACCTGGGCCTCTGTCTTGGCAGAGGTCTGCCTGGGCTGTGCTACCACCTGCAGACAGGGAACCTCACGGTGGCGAGGCCCCCAGGTGGGTCCCTAGCCCTGGGAGGCCAAGACCAGGCCTGGGAAGTAGCCGCGGTTTCTGACTCTCCTTCGTCCTCTGTCTCCAGCGTCAAGCCCTTTGTGCAACAGGCCTACCCTATCCAGCCAGCGGTCACAGCCCCCATTCCAGGTGAGTCTCTGCGGGACCCTCTTGCTTTGTTCCACAGCTGCACACCCTCCCTCACTTGCAGAGCCATGGACGCCCCCTTCTCGCCGGCACCCTCCTTAAGGCAGGGTTAGCCCGGAGCTCAGGAGGGTCAGGGGGGTGTCCCCTCCCAGGTCCTGATTCGCCTCGGTCATCTCTAGAGAGCTCTTCTCATGGGCTTTTAAAGAAACAGGAAGCCTGATCACTTTCACTCAGGACCCTGGGTCATCCTTGGAAGGGGAAGTTGCTGTGGTTCCTCCCTCATCATAAACAGGCCATGTCGGGCAGTCCCAGTCTTGAGGGCAGATAGGGTTTTACTCACCCTTTCTCAGAGAAGTGCGTTTCAATTCCGAGCACGCTTTTTTAAAGGAGCGCTTACACGGAAGCCCAGCCAGAAACCGGGGACCCAGCCGGCCTGCCTGCCTCCCGCCGCACGCAGGCGCAGAGGCTCAGTGGGACTCTCTCCGTTAGAGACTCCCCAGGCTGCCGTGCATTTGCTCGTCACCCTCTGCTCCAACACCATGGAGCATTCCGAGAGAGTACTCACAGTGCTGGTGACTGCAGTCTTAGGGAAGGAGATGGTTGAGCATAGGAGGTCTTTGTTGCCTGTCTTTCCTGTCTCACAGGAGATCTTTGCCAGCACCTGCTTCCGCTCTTTGTCACTCTTGTCGTGGTCCCCAGCGAGGCCCCTTTGCCCAGGATTAGGTGTCCTCACGCCACAGCCCTTAACCTGAGCTGGCGCCAGCTTTAGAAAGAGCCGCCACGTGCATTGCGCTTCTCCGGCTAGCCCTGCCTCTGGGCTCCTCCACCAGAACCCACCACTGCCTGGCTCAGCTCCCCCCTGACTCTGGTGGACGGGCCTGTTGGCCTTTCCTCCTGGTAGGGCCCTGCCCCGGGGTTGGCCTGAGGCCCGAGGGGAGGTGAGCGGCCAGGTTGAAGGTGACGATCGATCGGTATTTCAGGGTTTGAGCCTGCGTCAGCCCCAGCTCCCTCGGTCCCGGCCTGGCAGGGCCGCTCCATTGGCACAACAAAACTCCGCCTGGTGGAGTTCTCAGCTTTCCTCGAACAGCAGCGAGACCCAGACTCGGTGAGTGTGCCCAGAGAGGTGTGTCTTGAACCCAGGGTTTGCCCCTCTTTCCCTGCCCTCAGGCCTGACAGGTAACCTGTGTGAAGCAGACCTGGTGGAGGATAGCGGAACAGCCCTTCAATTAAGAGAAAAGGTATTTCTGTTGACAAAATATGTGGAACTTTAGAGCTAAATGGTTATGGATGCTGTGGACTGCGAACTCCAAGGATTGCTGGAGCTGTAGCGAAGGACCTTAACAGGCTCTTGCACGTGGTAAAATGTAACATGTTTTGAGCCCTGCCCTGTGGCTGGTGCTTTGTGCAAAGCTTATAGATAGGATCACGTTTTACCCTCACAAAACCCCATAAGGGTAGGTGCTCTGTGGTACATGAGAAAACAGAGAGGTTAAATAATTTCCCTATAGCCACAGAGTTACGGATTAGAGATTCAAACTCATGTCTTTAAAACTCAAGCCTAAACATTTAGCCATTATTCTATACTTCTTTTCAAAGCGGTGTCTTCTCAAGATAGCAAGTCACTACCTTCTGAAGGAGAAGTAACAGAGTAGTACTTAAGTAATTTGAAGTAGAATGTGATGCATTATAATTCCATAAATACCAAGAACATTGGCATCTGGACTCTATTTGTCGCTTTTCTTCCTTCCCATTTCCCCGCCCCATCTAGTGGCCGTCATCCCCCTGTTTCTCAGCCAGGCCCACCATTTCCCCTGCATATGTGAGCCTCCCTTCTTTCCCACCCGACAAGCCTGAGACCCTTTCTTCCCTCCCACTCCTTGGCTGTGATTAATGAGCATTGCATCTGTGTGTGGGTGAGCCCAAGGCAAAGACTAAAGAAATCAGGAGTTTGTCTTTGGGAGCTTTACCAACTCCTTTCCATAATTTGTACCTCACCCCACCCTGCTGATCTCGGGGGCTACCAAAAGCACACAGGTGCCATGCTCTCTGGGTATTTGCCGCCTTGCTGTCATTCTGTTACCAGGAAAAATCATCATGAATGAGTTCACCGTCTGTTGTAAGTAACTTGGATACAGACATCTGGAGGTGACCTCTCCTGGGAGTATTTGTACTTTGGCTCGCTGGAAAGCCTCTTATGGTAGGATGGGGGAGACCCCACAGGTAGAGGGGTTTCCGCCAGCCGTCATCAGAGTGGAGACTCGGGAACCCACGTGTGGCCCCCTGACATTTCTGTCTATGAATTGTGAATGCTGGGAGCTGGTGGAAAAATAGAGCCTGCTCCAAAATTAGGAAAAAATGAAGAAGGAGATGTAGAGTAGGTCATTGGGCCCATTGAGGCAGGTCAAGGAAAATGAGATTATTGAGAACAGGGAAGAGAAGGCCACCTGGATCCTCTTCTCTAGTGTCTGAGTGGCTTTACAAGAAGGGTGATGGTGAGAGCTTAAATCCCTCTCTGCGGGAGCATTGAAATAAACAACCAAAAAGATTACCTTCCTTTTCTTCCTCTTCTGTCTGAGAAGTGTAGATGGTTCTTTGGCTGAAGACTGGGCTTTTGGCCCAGATTGTGCTTCTGCTTTCTGTAACTTGTGTTTGTATGACACCTCACTGCTCGCAGAGTACATTGTCATTGGTTATTTCATTTTGTCCTCAACGTGCTGGTGAACTGCATTCTTTTTTTCCCCATTGTACAGATGAAGAAACTGAGGCCCAGGCACATTAAATGACTTAGGATATTTAGCCAATAAGCAGGAGGACCAGGAGTTCAGATCTTCCATTTCCGTGTACTCTCTTCACTACTGTGAACCACCACCAATTGTGAAGGTCTCTTGGATTGTGCTTTCAGTCTGTGTATCTCCTGTATCAGCAAATCTCTCTCTTTGCTTCTGACCATTTTTTTAAGGAATAGAACTCCAAGACATTGGGAAGCAGAAGTCCCAAGATGTTAGTTGTTATCCTTGTTACAAGACTCAATATAATGTTTTATCACCAAAAAAGAAACAATTTTTTTTTTTTTAATTTAAAAAGCCTATGGCAGCCCCCTCATATTGTAACTGTCCTCCTCAGTTATGGACCTGTTAGGGCCCAGGATGACCAGTTCCTCTTTTTCCTGTTGTTGCTGTTAATTGGGCTTCACACTGTGAATCACCAGCAGATTCATTCAGTCCATTCTGTAAACATTTATGAGCACTTGCTTGTTCAGGGCGCTGTAGCGAGGAGGGGCCGGCCCAGTGCTGCACAGCCAGCCACTGGCTCTGCCCTTGGCGGAGGTGGGGGTGACGTCTAGTGGGGGAGGCACACGAGGCGATAGTCACACATGAGGCCACTGCAAAGTGTGGTGACCGCTGGGGAGGGAGAACACTGGACGCTGTGAATGAGGGACAGGGAACCGGGCAGGTTTTGTCAAGGAAGCAGCCCTCATGCCAACAGGTAGAGCATCGATATGGGCAGGGACGAGTAAGGGAGAAGAGCACTCGAGGGGCGATGACTCTGTTGTAGGTAAAGCAGGAGGTGAAAGCTGGTGACTAGCTTAGAAAGGCAGGGCCCACCAAGTCCTTGGAATAGAGTCCAGAGATACTTGTTTCATGTATGTTCAGGATTACACTTAAGACTCTGAACGGTTCGCAGTTGGCAAGGCAGAAATTGAGACACAGATGTAGAGAACAAACGTGTGGACACCAAGGGGGGAAAGTGGCGGAGGGGGGTGGGTGGGATGAACTGGGAGATTTTGACTGACATATATACACTAATATGTAGAAGATGGATAACTAATAAGAACCTGCTGTATAAAAAAAATAAATAAAATTCAAAAAAAAAAATCTGAACGGTTCAACTAGATTTGACCTTTCACTGATGAATGAACAGGTTTGCTTCTTTAGCTTAGACTCTAACACATGACTTTAATGGTGACAGATGTGGTAAACTAGAGAGTGAATTTCCAGAGTAGGAGGGACTTAAGGGAGACCACCCTGAACCGAGGACCAGGCAAACTAGATTCTCCTCTTGGCTTTGTTGCTCCCCAAGTGTGCCTTATTTCCTCTTGGGCGACAATACAGGCAGAAAAGGGTTCAGACCTGCCCACAGCCATTGACTAACGATCTCTCCAAGCCTCTTCTATAGAAAGAAATAGAATTACCTACCTCATAGGGCTGTGATAGGGATGAAAAAGAATCACACTGCACCAAGCTCATTAATTTATTTGCTTGGTTTTTGCCAGCACTACCCATAGACCCAGGATTCCAGTGAACCCAAGCCATTGCAAAGACGTAGGGGGAAATGTGTGTACATGTCTGTATGTAGACAAAGATTTGCAGAATCCCAAGTTGAATTTGTTTAGGACCTTTAATTATTTGTCACTTTGTTGGCTTCCTTATCAAATTAACATGCTTAATGTTTGATGTTAAATTTTAAGGGTAGTATATCCAAATTTGTTTAAATGTACCAGGTGAGTTTCTTTTCGATGGCTTTAAATTTTCCTATAGCTGGAAGTCTGAGAGCCAAAGAAACCATTCACATGCTACATGTTTTTTCAGTGTGACCTTGGACCTCAAGAGCCTTTACATGTTCATTGTAACAGCACCTTATGTTTGCAAAATGAAGCACATATTACATAATTGGAGAGGCTGGTGCTTGAGACTTGCCAGAATGCTTGTTTTAAGTAATCTTGTGAATTCTCCCCCATTTCAGTTAGTCAGCCACCTCTTTTAGTCCCAGCTGTGCTGGAAATTCAATCTTCGGTTTACCACGTGTCACCTGCTACCACTAAAGATTCTTCACAATTCTGCCACCCCTCCCAGCAGTAGTACTGGTGATAGCCAGCACTGTCTTACCCAACCCTATGACATAGCCTGCCCAGTATTAGGCAGCCAGCTGACATTGGAAATGGGATTCAGATCCAGGTCTGTCGATTCCATATCCTGAGACCTGTAACCAAAGGTTCTCGGGTCCATTTGTATCTGATGTGTGTACCTGTAGCCAGCCATAATCTACAAGGAGCTAAGGGAAGACTAATTTGGGGGATGAACGCCCCCTGCTGGCTCTGCATCATGTGTAAACCAGACATTTCCCGGAGTCGGTGGTTGTTTATATTGGTGGAGAACCAGCAAGTCAGTCCCTCTGTTACCTTTGGCTCCACTAGAAGCTAAGAGAAAAACAGCAGAGGGTGAAGAAAGGAAGATCTAAAAAACAAAGACTATTTTAGAAGTGGTTAGTAATGCTTGAAAGTACACTTTCTACACGATTTCAGTGTTGCGTATCAAAGGGTGTTAAGTGCAAGATCCTCCACCCGGGGTGGGCTTTTTAAAAGGGCCTCGCCTGTAATCAGGGCCCAGTTCCTGGAGACCTGAAGCAGCTGCTCCTTTAGAGAAATGAAAACCCGGCCTTGATGAGCTGTAAGCTGAATCCCGTGTGTGCATGCAGAGTGGCTTTCCTGATAAAGCCTAACGGGATCCCTCTACCTGCTCCCTGGTGCAGGGCAGGTTCCTCCAGCCGCCCCGAAGCTCAGCCACACCTTCCCAGGCAGAGGTTGTGTATTTAATGCCTACCGTGATCTGGATTCCAGAGCAAGCAGGGCTGTGAGCAGGAAGAGAGTGTGTGAGTTCGGTTAGGTAGGAGTTACACAGCCAGAGAAAGGCAAGCTTTGGGGTGGAGAGGGCGGGACAGGAGATTATTTTCTTTAGATTTTGAAGGAGCATTATCTTGGGGAAGAAGAAGTTCCATGATGTGCAGGAGCACACCTGACCAGGGAGACACCTCTGCTAGTTGCAGCCATCACGATAACCTCCAGCATTGGCTGAGCTGTGTCCCAAGCCCTGCGTGCCAAGCATTTGACACAGGCACTGTTCTTACGTCCCATCTCTCAGTAATGGAACGGAGGCTCAGGAGCATTAAGGTACATTATCAAGTTCCACTGCCAGGAAATGGCTGTGCCGTGGTTTGTCTCCCCTTTGTATATTCACCATGTCACTGTACTTTTGAAGAAATTAAAAAATCACTCAGATGCAAAAACGGCTGCCCTTCAAGGTCTGAGCTCCCCAAGCACAGCCTGGA